AACAAAGTCATCTGAAAAGTAAGATTGAGAAGTTTACTTCACGCACTTTCATTTGCCCCACATGTTTATTTCAGAGGTCCCCTGCTTACCAGAAAACCTTTTCTCTATGAATAATTTGCAGGGAAAAATAATTCTCATACTAAACTGTCACTACAGTTCTGTAGTGCTATTTATTATCAATTCCATAAGCTAGCTGTGTGGCCACAGCTGTATCATAATTGTTTAATGCATAGTCTATTTAGAGGGCTGTTACACTTTGTGTAGCAATCCTACCGGATCAGTAATTCTGACAGCTGGAAAGGCTGGAGTATTTCCGCCTTAATGGCCCTGAACAGTATTGTCCTTGGTGTCGTAAATCTTTTATGGAAGGTAACGTTATGTAAATTGAAGTCTGGCCTCCAAACTGTACTGCAGCTTTCAGAAGTGTTTGAAGGCCTCTTTGTTAATGATTCTGTAATGTATAAACCATATTCTTAGGCTATTACAAAAGAATATTAAGGTTTAGTAATTGTCCATTGATTGAAATCAGAAAATTGTAGTGAAAACTGACGGTTTTATATTCTGAAACACAGGCATGTAAATGAATGCTTGCTGAACTGTTGCTAGACTTAGAAATTGCGGTTAGACTAGAGTTGATATAGCTATGCTCCTTTTGCTTCTTGATAGTTTTTTTGTATTTATATATGTAGTTGTGAGGCCTTTTTCTTTCATGTGGCTTTATCCTCTTACAAAGGTCTTTTATAATTCCTAATTAACTGGCTGCTTCAGTATCAGCTTACTAAGCCTTGCTTTTAGGTTAGGTGCAAACAAAAGCAATCATACTCCATGCAACTACAGCAAGAAAAAAGTCAGGATGAAAGCTTTAGAAGTAGCTTTACATTGTAAGTCTAAACAAATATGCAAATTGATTAATATATTAAAAATTTTTTTTTTAAGATTAATGTTCCCTTAGGGGCCAGGGACATGGCTCAGAGGCACAAGCACCTGCCTGGCAAGTACAAGGTCCTGAGTTCAATTCCCAGTACCAAAAAAAAAATTAGTGTTCCCTTTTAAGGGCAGATTTCTTTGTATTCTATTCTCTGCACTCATCATTCTGTAATAATGTATTAATAAATCCTTTTAAAAAAAAAAAAGAGGGACAACATGTATTTTCAACAAAATGACCCACAGTGTGGTGTTGAAAACACAGAGTGAGGTGTTCTGATCTGGCTGAATCTGTGGAGCTTTACGTGTGCACAAGAGACTCCATCTGACCTGGCCAGGACGGCAGGTGACACAGCTGACGTCCTTCTTTATAGATTCGGGGAACAGGGATCCAAAGCCCGTTCAAAGTTGCTTCTGTTGTTGGTTCACAGCAGTCTCTTTCTGTGAACTTCAGACAGTTGCTAATACTATTAAAAGCAAAGACTTTTGTCTCTGGAAATTGTATTTTCTCAGAATGTGTTTCCTGGAAGGTCTTTGTTCAGCCACAAGAGTTTCATGTGACCACGATGTTAACTGGAGCCGAGTCAGTGTTTGCCTTCCCCTGCCTTTGTTACCCTTCTCTGACCGCGCACAGACTTACCATACTTACCAGACCAGACACTGACAAAGCCCAGGAGAATGGTGGTTGTAAATGACCAATCTCAAAAACATCTGCATGCTGGTCTCTGTGGCACGCACTGGTAATCCCAGCTCTTAGGGAGGCTGAGGCAGGAGGAACACAAGTTCAAGTTCTATCTGGGCAATTGAGCAAGACTTTGTCTCAAAATAAAATAGATAAATAAAAAGGGCTGATGTAGTGCCAAGGTGGTTCCATCCTCCATACTTAATACCCAGGGCTAAACACTTTCCCTGTAAAACTTCATTCAGTCCTCATAGTAAGCCCTCAAGATAGGTGCAATTATTGACCTGGCTTTGCAGGTAACAATAGATGCTAACAGAGATTACTAGTGGGTATTGTGCTGATGTTGCAGCTAGCTAGTGTAGAAATAAAACCTGTGTGAGAAGCTGGCCCAATCCAGAGCCTATCTACTTAACTGTTAGGCTCCAGTCATCTAAAAACTCCCATTGGGCGCTCTCCCAACAGGGCAGAATAGGGTGAGCTGGGCAGGTCTGCACATGTCTCCTACCTTCGGGTGCCGTCCCTGCCCCTACCCCAGAGTCAAGCTCTCCCTTGCACTCTATCCTCTCTGCTTACTTTGCCCTGACCCAGCCCTGGTTCCTGGGGCAAGTTGGCCAGTGTGAACATAGGCTCCCTAGCAACTGATTTTGGAACTCACATATAATCCCTAAGACACACAGGAATGTAGATATTTTGCGTTTTTGCATTTGTTTTGTGGAACACTGGGGATAGAACCCAAGGTCTTAAAACATGCCAAGCAGTGCCACACCATGGGCCCACACCCCACCCTGTGATGTCCCAGCTCACTTCCTGTTTCCCCTGGGTCAGTGGACAAGCTGTTCAGCCTGCAGCTGACCTGTTCCAAGAACAGGAGAGAGAGCGGGGACTTATGGGCTGAGCATTCATGCCCAGGGGAATCCTGCTGGCGGCCAAATATTTGGCCTTCTTAGGAACACCTCAGCTGGGCAGAAGCAAGTTTTTTATTTCTTGGTTGTTTTGAGTTTTTTCCCCCAGGATTTCAAAGTATACAGTGTGACCATAGAAAAGAAATTCTTATTGTTATTTTCTTAAACGCTACCTCCCCACCAATCTCATTGTCTTCTATTTTCTTAACGCTTTGCACTTCCTTTGCCTGCAGTGGGCTTTCCCTGGAAGCCGAGTGAGCGCTTTTGAGTAGCGACGCGGTTGCACCTCCCTGGGCTTTCTTCTTTTCAGAACTTGGCTCTATTAAGGGAACCACATCTGTTTCAGAGGCTTGGGGTCAGAGTACGACGTTGCCACTTACTAGCTGGGTGTCTAGTTTCCTTTGTCTCCTTGGAGTGGGGATATTACCACTCCACGTGCACAGCTGTTGTGAGGATGGAACCGGTGTGCTGTAAGTGCCCAATGGCTGCAGGAAGGAGTGCACAGCAGTCAGTGCTCTTTACTGGTGTCCATGGCTGGCAAGATCACCACTCCCAGAATTCTAACCAAAGTCACTGACAGCCAAATAAGTCTTTATTCCAGGTCAGGCCCGATATAATCCAGAGTGAGTCCCACACCCAGTGTAAAAGCTGGGATTACCAGTGCATGCCACAGAGCCCAGCTACAGCTGGCCTTTCCTGGGGTAGCAGGTGTGTTGGAAGGTAAAAGCTGACTATGGCAACAAGTTGTCAGAAATTCAAATCCCAAAGTATGTCCAATTTTGAATACACATTTTTGGGTTGTTTTTTAAAGTTTATTTGGTGCTGGAGATTGGAGCCAGGGCCTCATGTATACTAAACTCATTCTCTGCCACTAAGCCCCATTCCTACTCCTGACTGCACATTTTCTTTTCTTTTTTTTTTTTTTTTTGCTTTTTTGAGGTCCAGGACCAATAAATTGTTCTTCCCTT